AGTTGTTTAGATGACTCAGCGAGTTGTTTAGATGACTCAGCAAGTTGTTTAGATGACTCAGCGAGTTGTTTAGATGACTTAGCAAGTTGTTTAGATGACTCAGCAAGTTGTTTAGATGACTCAGCGAGTTGTTTAGATGACTCAGCAAGTTCAGATAACTCAACAAGCTGTTCAGATGACTCAGTGAGTTCAGATGACTCATGTTGTTCAGATGACTCAGCAAGTTGTTCAGATAACTCAGTGACGTTTTCAGATGACTTGGCGAGTTGTTCAGTTAACTCAGTGAGTTGTTCAGATGACTCAGCAAGTTGTTCAGATGACTCAGTGAGTTGTTCAGATGACTCAGCAAGTTGTTCAGATGACTCAGCAAGTTATTCAGATGACTCAGCGAGTTGTTTAGATGACTCAGCGAGTTGTTCAGATGACTCAGCGAGTTGTTCAGATGACTCAGCGAGTTGTTCAGATGACTCAGCGAGTTGTTTAGATGACTCAGCAAGTTGTTCAGATGACTCAGCGAGTTGTTCAGATGACTCAGCGAGTTGTTTAGATGACTCAGTGAGTTGTTCAGATGACTCAGCGAGTTATTCAAATGACTCAGCAAGATGTTCAGATGACTCAGCAAGTTGTTCAGATGACTCAGCAAGTTGTTCAGATCACTCAGCGAGTTGTTTAGATCACTCAGCAAGTTGTTTAGATGACTCAGCGAGTTTAGATGACTCAGCGAGTTCTTCAGATGATTCAGTAAGTTGTTCAGCCGACTCAACAAGTTGTTTGGATGACTCAGCAAGTTCAGATGACTCAACAAGCTTTTTAGATGACTCAGCGAGTTTGTGGGATTTTTTTTAACGTCTCTCAGTTTGAAACTATAATCAATGGTTTCCTCTCTCAGTTGTCCAACTTGTCCTGATTCTCCTCTTGTCGACCCCACCCCCCACCCCTGGTGTAGTTTGCAGTTCTGGCCAGGAGGAGGCGACGCTGGAGTTCCTGCTCACAGACTACGATCAGGTCTACAGGCGGCAGAAGCAACTGGAGCTGGAGATCCAGGAGGCCTTCCTGCGCTTCATGAGCTGCCTGCTGAGAGGATACAGAACCTTCCTGCTGCCCATCACACAGGCGCCGTCGGACCGGACCACCGACTGCAGCTCCCTGTTCAACCTGCAGGGTGCGCACTTTGCTTCTGAGTCTTCAGAACCACAACAGAATCAACACTGAGACCAAGACTGGACTGAGGGTTTCTCCCTCTGGAGAACTTGGCCGGACTCAGATCAGAACTGACTGAGCTGTGCTCTCCAGAAAAAGGAAGCCTCATTTCTGTGTCTCTGGTCCTGGTCCTGGTCCTGCAGGTTTCCTGAAGTCTTTCTGTGTCTCTGGTCCTGGTCCTGCAGGTTTCCTGAAGTCTTTCTGTGTCTCTGGTCCTGGTCCTGCAGGTTTCCTGAAGTCTCGGGACCGGACGCAGCAGAAGTTTTACATCCAGATGATGAAGACCCAGATGTTCACTCAGTTCATCGAGGAGTGCTCCTTCGTCAGTGACCGACACGCTTGCCTCGAGTTCTTCGACGAGTGCGTCCAAAAGGTCGGCGCAGAGGTCGTTACCTGGGTAAGAGCTTACTGATCACCTGTCTGTCAGTTTACCTGTAACTGTTGGGTCCAGGTGGGTGTGGAGAAACCCGAGGAGGTCCGGTTGATTGATCTGGATGAGACTCACAGTGGAGAGCACACCGTCTTTATCATGCCTCCTGAGGAGCCGCAGGAAGCTGACGGCTCTGAGTGCCCCGCCCTCTACAGGTATGACTCCACCTGTGTGGGAGGAGCTAAATCCTGAGTCAGGTGTCCTGATGGGGTTTTCTCTGCTTACCCTCAGTTATGAGACCTTCCCGACCCTAAAAGCAGAACTGTTTGACCGACCGCAGGACCAGCTCCGAGTCCCGGCCAAAGGCAGCGCCCCCGATAGCCCCGCCCCCCGACGCACCAAACAGGTAAAGTCAGAAAATCAGAACATTTAGTCAGGGTTTGAAGAGCAGGGGCGCTGCAGGAACTGACAGCTTAGGACCGTGACTCTGAAACTCAGAGATATAATCTGAGGAATGTGGACGTGATTAAGACTTTTGCACAACTCTCATCAGTTCTGGTTCTTCTGCAGGAGATCAAGTTGGCCCAGCAGCGGGCTCAGAAGTACTTTACGGTTCCGGACATGTGGTCCAAGTGTTTGCTGGGTCACTGTTACGGTCTGTGGTTCATCTACCTGCCCACCTTCGTCCGGGCCGAGCCCTCCAAGGTCCGGGCCCTGCACACGGCCTACGATGTCCTGAAGCACATGGAGACCCGCAAAGTGGTTCTGCCCGACGAGGTGAGACCAACCGGGTCCGACCTGGCTGCTGAGACTCACTTTGACCTGAGTTCAAACTAAAACTACCGAAATAACAAAAACTGAACCTGAAAAAACATTTTAGTTAAACTAAAATAAATAAAAACTGTCATAAAATGAAAAAACAATAACTAATTAAAACTGTGTCATCTTTTTACAAAACTAACTAAAACTAACTCAAGTTATAGATAGAATATCCTTAGTTTTAGTATCCTTAGTTTTAGTGTTTGTCAATTTATTTTGAGCCGTGGATTTTTTTTTTTAATTGAGTAATTTCACATCAGCTGTGGTTTGTAACACTTTGGTCTGCTAAATGACGACAACAAAAGTTTGGAGAAAGCAGCAACGTCCACTTTGTGATTTCTGACTGAAAAATCAAATCAAGTGTCTTGTAGTGGAACCAGGTGATAAAACAGGTGATAAAACAGGTGATAAAACAGGTGATAAAACAGGTGATAAAACAGGTGGAATACTTCTGAAGGGAAATCTGCATGAATCAAACTCACACAAGATGCTAACTATGACTATCTGACACGTTAGCTTCTCTCAGCAGCTCCATGAAAAACAAACAACAGGAAGCAGCAGGTTGGAGACAAACTGTTGTCATCGTCCTAAAATAATCACCAAGTTTTTATTTGGCTAAACTGAGTTACATTATTTTATGAAGGTGTTGCTGTAATGGACTGATTTAACTAGTGACCAGATATCTGCAGGTTGGTTAACTCACAGGAACATCACAAGATGGAGGAGGCTTTGATAAATATGTTTATTCAAACTATAAAAAACTAATACTAGAACTAATAAAAACTTAACAAAAACCAAGCATTAAAAATACAATAATAACTAATAAAAACTATCAAATCCACTGTAAAAACTAATTAAAACTAACTGAATTAAAAGAAAAAAGTCACAACTAAATAAAACTAAACTATAATGAAAAATCCTAAACTATTTTAACCTTGATTCAAAGTTTATTTGTCCTCCAGGGGTCCCACAAAGCTCCAATCTGGGCCCACATTAGTTCTCATTTTATTTATATTAATTCAACAAATTAAATTACATTTCTGATCAAATCTAAAAGTTTAAAGTCAAGTAAATGRGAAGTTAKARTATGAGTCGTCGTCCCCCCACCCCCACCCCCACCCCCTGTGATCCCAGGGTCTTTGGATCAGGGATTTATTGTCTCACTTTGAGCTTCTCAAACAGCAGGAGCTCTTTTTAAAAACTAAAGTAATCATTTTATCACTGGAACATTACAAACCTGTCCTCAGGACCTGGATGGAAGTGGGCGGAGACTCACCTGTGTGTGTGTGTTCCAGGTGTGTTATCGGATCCTGATGCAGCTGTGTGGTCAGTACGGTCAGCCGGTCCTCGCGGTCCGGGTCCTCCTGGAGATGAAGAAGGCTGGGATCACCCCCAACACTATCACCTACGGATACTACAACAAGGTCTCTGTGACACACACAAGCACACACACACACATACACACACACACACACAGGTCTGGTTTGTATATCCCCGTGGGGACCATGCATTGACTTCCATTCATTTTTGTAAGTGTGTTTACTCCTAACCCTAACCTGAACCAGAACACACACTGTACCTCTGAACTAGTAGAGCTGTGAAAAAGGTCCTGACTTACAAATCATCATCCATTGGTTCTTGGTCCATTACCTGATCGGACTCTTCTGTCCTCAGGCCGTCCTGGAGAGTAAGTGGCCGTCAACCAATCAGGGCGGCCGTCTACGTTGGGTCAAGCTGAGGAACGTCCTATTGGCTGTGGCTCAGTTCAGACGACCAATCAGACGGCGGCAGAAGAGCGACTCTCTGGGCTCCCGGGGAGGTCAGACATGTTTCAGAGCCTCACCTGTGGTTAACCTGTCCTCTGAGACACTGACTCCCAACCAGGGGTACATGTATCCCTGGTGGTACATGTATCCCTGGTGGTACATGTACCACCAGGGTTACATGTACCCCTGGTGGTACATGTACCCCTGGTGGTACATGTACCCCTGGTGGTACATGAGCATATTACAGGGGGTACCTGGGAAAATGTCCCAAGTGTGTAAAAAATAATAAAAATAGGACTGAGCTATGTAAGGCCCTATGGTTTTCACAGTGTGAAAAATGCAAACTGAATTGCAGAACTGACTAAACAAAATAGAATCCAGTATAAAATGAATTTGCTAATTTAGACAAGTTTCTGGGATATTTTGGGCAATACAATATATTTTTATTTCATTACTTATTCACTTTCAAGGCAACGTTTTTATCTTTATATTTAATTAGAGTTTAAAAGAATTCAATGCCTGAGAATATGTTCAAGTTAAGGGTGTTAAATAAATAATTTTGATTTAATAATCAGCTGTTGTACATTATGTTTTGGAGAATGGTTACGGTTGACTGAGGGGTGGTGGTGGGATGACAGGATGTCTCAGGGGTACACAAGTCTAAAAAGCTTGGGAACCACTGCATGTTTGACCCGTTACTAATGATGATGATGATGATGTTACAGAGGCGGGGGTGGAACCGGACCAGAAGCTCCTCCCACACTTGGCTCTGATTCGTCAGTCCAGTTGGAGCGGTCTGAGTGAGAGCTCCAGTCACGAGTCTCTGAGCGGTCCTCTGGTGAAGAGCAGCAGCCTGAGCAGCATGAAGACGCACAGTGACAGTAAGACGTCCTGGTCCTCAGGACCACAGAGTCCTGGTCCTGCATGATCCATTCCAGACCCTGAACCTGACCACCTCTCATCTGTTCTGTCCCTCAGAGACCCAGTCCTGTAGGAGGACTGTGGAGTCCAAGATCAACGGTTGTGGGGACGCCGTCTCTCAGAAGCCTCCACTGGGACGACGAGACGTCTCCGTCCCTCCTGCTGCGCCCCCTGGTGGTGTGGTGGTCCGCCGCAGTGAGATCTGCCTGTCCACCTTCTACTCGGAGTGTGCCGAGTCCGCAGACTCAGAGCTGGACTGCAGCTGCCGGCCGGAGGACAGAGACGGCAGGTGGGCGTCTGTCTTTGTCTCTGCTGGTTTTACTGACGTGACCCCAGCTGACCCCACCCCACCTGACCTCTGACCCCAGGTCTGACAGGCCACGAGGCTCCGCCCACAGGAACAAGGTCATAGACGAGAACTCCAACAACGTGTCGTCTCCGAGCCGAGGAGGTCTGACAGGAAAGCTGCAGCAGCTCCTCACGCCAACCCGACATCGCACATCGTCACGCAGAGCCGCCAGCGTGGACCACCGGCGCTCAGGAGGAGGAGGAGGAGGAGGAGGACGAAGAGTATCAGAGCAGAGGCAGGCCAGGAAATCACACGTGGCTGAAACTCTGCTGAAAGCTAAGGAGCGTCTGGTGAACGCCACGTCAGAGGTGAGAGGTTTGATGTCATGCAGCTGGTTGGTCTTTAAGCCCCGCCTACTCTCCCTCTGTCAATCAGCTCATTCATGTTGAAAACTAATTACAGCTAAACATGGTGGGAAATGAAAGGAAGAACGCCTGGGGAAAGGGGCGGGGCTTAAAAACAGTACTAGAACCAGACACTAGAGGGCGCTTTGTGGTTTCAACTTCTTGTTTCTGGTCCTGTCTCTAATATCTAGATGTGTTTGTCGCTCCTTTGTGCATGTGCTGTAAGAAATACAGCCAGGAGGGCCTTGTTTGTTTTTAGCATGTAGCATTTAGCTAAACCAGTTGATGACAGGCTGGATTTGATTTCAGTCTTTCATCAGCTGCAGGGTTTCATAGAAAACTCAATGTTTTTATTCCAGGACAAAAATAAAACTCAGATTAAATTAATTAGAACAACATCTACAAAAACAAGTTTGTTCAAGTCATCAATGTGAAATAAATAATAATAAACATTGTAAATCTATATTTTATTAATGTCAGAATATATATGATATTAAAACTGTTTACAGATTATAATTTAGCACAAATTTATAATTATGTATGGAAATAACTTCCAGTATTTTTCCCTAAATTGAGTGCATTAGGCTAACGTTAAACAGGAAGTAATGCTGTGTTGAACAGGAAGTGATGCTGTGTTGAACAGGAAGTGATGCTGTAGTAAACAGGAAGTGATGTGATAAACAGGAAGTAATGTTATAACAGGAAGTGATGCTGTAGTAAACAGGAAGTGATGCTGTGTTAAACAGGAAGTAATGCTTTGTTGAACAGGAAGTGATGTCACAGTAGATCAGACCCTTGAATAATTTACTTCCTGGTTCCCCCTCAGAGCTCTCTATCCGTAGGAAGTGACGTGGACCTGTCGGACACGCCCACACAGGCGTTCCCTGTGCGCAGGTCGTGGGACTGCAGCCATGACGGGGCAGGGATGGAGGTAAAGCAGTGGTTGTGATGGGGGGGCGGTTCTGTGGTGCCCCGGCTGTTGGTTGACCAGCTGTGGTTCTGCTGCAGGTTCTGATGTCCAGCTGCTCACTGTGCCGCAGCTGTAACTCTCTGGTTTACGACGAGGAGATCATGGCGGGCTGGAGCTCCGACGACTCCAACCTGAACTCGTCCTGCCCGTTCTGCGGCACCTCCTTCGTGCCGTTCCTGAACGCTGAGATCTGTGACCTGGGGCCCGTCAGCAGGTAGGACCCTGGATCAGAACTGAAGCAGGTTCTAGCTGGCTCTGTTGGACCTGGTGTCCTCTGTGTCCTCTCAGTGCGGAGCGCCGTCACCTGAACCTGGAGGACGAGGTGGAGAGCGCCGTCAGGCCCCCCAGCGGTCTGGAGCCCGGCACCCGGCCCCACTGTAACGGACTGAGTGACGACTCCAGCTCCGAGACCAGCAGCTACTCTGAGACCAGCAGAACCACCACGGTACCGTACCCCCTCACATAACGAACAGCCCTCCTGTTGACCGCTGGCTGACAGGCTCCGCCCCCTCTCACAGGTGTCGTCGGCGGGCGGGACTCCTCAGGTGGCGGTGCCCTACCTGAGCCCTCTGGTTCTGAGGAAGGAGCTGGAGAGTCTGCTGCAGAATGAAGGCGAGGCGGTTCTGGCCCAGCCTCAGTTCCTGGACAACCACTCCATCATCTTCTGGAACCTGGTCTGGTTCTTCCAGAGGCTCGGCCTGCCCACCAACCTGCTGCAGCTGGTCCGGAGCTCGCCGCTGGTCAGCCACTTCACACAGGTGGGTCCGGTCCGGTCCGGTCCGGTTCTGCCTCTGCAGGAGGGAGCATCCAGTCTGAGTTTGGCTTTAGACCAGGGGTGGTCCTGGTCCTGGTCCTGGTCCTGGTCCTGGTCCAGTGAAAAACAATTAATATATATTTTAAAAAACAGTAAAATTTAAATAATGTGTTCAAATCAGGGTTCGACAAGATTTTATTTTTTTACCTGCCCTGTCGGGCAGGTGACAACAAATGTTACCTGCCCAAAACAAAAATGTTCAAATTTTGATAAAATAAGTAAAACGTGTACTGTACTTTGTACTACAAAAATATTACCATGGTTATACACAGGTATATAATACAGCAGGTAAAATAAGTATTGAACACGTCACCATTTTTCTCAGTAAATATATTACTAGAGGTGCTAATGACATGAAATTTTCACCAGNTAAATCAGGAATTCCAAAAAGTGAACAAGTCATTGTAATTTTTTTCCTTCTGATTAGTAGTGAGTGATTGTACTTATTGTGTAAACTTAATCATGAAGGAGATAACATTAGTTTCTTTCTTTAAATGTGTTTTTATGTATATGATATTTGGCCTAACAGCAGCTGGTAGCTCCTGGTGTTTGATGATGTAATCTGTACTGTCCCAGTTCTCAGGTGTTGTACACACATGTAACCTGTGCACTCTATGTGCACTTAGACTGAATCCACACTTCACAGAAGGGCGGAGCTGAGCTTTGGGACTGGGCCACTGATTCTGCTGTGGTTCTGAACCTGAACCAGTGACAGAATGTGCAGAAGGGCTTTCAAAATAAAAGCATTGAAGTCATGACTCTGTATGTTTTTGACCTGTTTCAGTGAATGTTTCAGTGAATCATTCAGTAAATGATTCAGTGAATCATTCGGTAAATGTTTCAGTGAATCATTCGGTAAATGACTCAGTGAAAGATTCGGTGAATGATTCAGTGAATGACTCGGTGAATGACTTGGAAAATGATTCACTGAATCATTTCGTGAATGATTCGGTGAATGTTTCGGTGAATCGTTTTGGTGAATGATTCGGTGAATGATTCGGTGAATGTTTCGGTGAATCGTTTTGTGAATGATTCGGTGAATCGTTTTGTGAATGATTCGGTGAATCGTTTTGGTGAATGATTCGGTGAATCGTTTTGGTGAATGATTCAGTGAATCATTTTGGTGAATGTTTCGGTGAATGACTCAGTGAATGTTTCGGTGAATGACTGAGTGAATGACTCAGTGAATGATTCAGTGAATGATTCGGTGAATGATTCAGTGAATGATTCAGTGAATGATTTGGTGAATGATTCAGTGAATGATTCCGTGAATGATTCAGTGATTCAGTGAATGTTTCGGTGAATGATTCGGTGAATGATTCAGTGATTCAGTGAATGTTTCGGTGAATGATTCGGTGAATGATTCGGTGAATGATTCAGTGATTCAGTGAATGTTTCGGTGAATGATTCGGTGAATGATTCGGTGAATGATTCAGTGATTCAGTGAATGTTTCGGTGAATGATTCGGTGAATGATTCGGTGAATGATTCAGTGAGCAGCTGTAGACTAAAGTCCGATCTCCTGTTCCTCAGTCTGAGAACTCCTCGGTACGAGTCCGGCTCCTCTGGGACACCCTGAGCCCCGACACAGACCAGTGGCCCCCCCTCTACGTCCTGTGGAGGATCCACAGTGAGTGCAGCTGGATCAGGTCAGGTGAGGTCAGGTGAGGTCCTGCTGTGGTTCTGACCGTGTCCCTCCACCAGGTGGCGTCCCCATGAGGAGCTACAGCTGGAGGAGACACAACCACCCCTTCACCCTGTCCTTCCTGGAGGAGGTGCTGCGCTGGGTGGGCATGAACGAGGTCCACAAGGCCGTCACGCTCCTCCTGGACACGCTGGCCAAGCAGCCCGGCTCGCCACGGACCCAGAGGTGAGGGGGCGTGGCCTGTTACTATGGTTATAATCACAGCTGTTCTCAGGTTACCTGCTGGGGTCAAAGGTCATCTCCTCCATCAGTTGTGAGACGCAGCAGAGCTGAAGGCAGTACTGATGGTTCTGATGGTTCTGGTTCTGTTCTGATGGTTCTGGTTCTGTTTGCAGGAGTCTGTACAGAGAGTTCCTGTTCCTCACTCTGGCAGCGATGGGTAAAGACCACGTGGGTGAGACGTTCAACAAACTTTATTTAGAAGTGACTGACAGACGGTCACATGGTCCAAACAACTGGTTCTGCTTTTATTACCAGTCAGGATTTTATTCTTTCTTTTACTTGGTTTCATTGTTTACTGCCTGAGGTGTCAAGTAATTAAGTACAAATACTTTACTTAAGTAGAAATTTAGGTTATTTATACTTTAGTGGAGTCGTTTTTTTTTACTCCTTACATTTTAATTCAGTTATCTGTAATTTCTACTCCTTACTTTTTAAAAAGTTTTTTATTTCTATTATTTAATTTTGACGTGTTTTTATTCAAACTTTTCATTGTTCAGAAACAAATAAATAAATAAAAAAATAAATAAATCCAGATACATGGAGCTCATGGATAGAGAGAATCTGATTGTGTTTGGATGAGAAGTTTAAATATAAATAATCCTGTTGGATTAAACACACCTGTATGACACACAGGTCACACCTGTATGACACACATCACACCTGTATGACACACAGATCACACCTGTATGACACACATCACACCTGTATGACACACAGATCACACCTGTATGACACACATCACACCTGTATGACACACATCACACCTGTATGACACACAGGTCACACCTGTATGACACACATCACACCTGTATGACACACATCACACCTGTATGACACACATCACACCTGTATGACACACATCACACCTGTATGACACACATCACACGTGTATGACACAG